CTCTGAGACCTGGCCAGGCTCCTGGAGGAGGAGGAAGCTCTTGCAAGATGTTCATGAGCACAGTGACTCCAGGAGTCACTCACCTGGCTGACAAATCTCCCAAAATCTCATTCATGAGTAAACAGGACAAGTCAGTGGTGCTTCCAAATACAGTTGTAATGGGGAAGGCAACCACGCAAACAGGAAAAAAAATCCCTGTGGCTTTACCTGTTGCTGGATGCAGGGCTGTCTTGCTGCCAATACCGTGGGGCTCTGACGAAAGGTGGGTGCAGGGCGGGGCAGTGGGTGGCTGAGCCCAGCCCGCAGCTACGCCAGCCACGGTGCTCGGGGACGACTTGGTGCACAGGGCTTTGCCAGGGCTTTGCCAGGGCACCTCCCAGTTGTGTGCAGGGCTTGCTGATGAGCCAGAGCAGGTATATTTTTATTACTCCCTCTTCCTTGTCATCACCTTATGTAGGAGTTTTTTGAAACTTAACCCCATTTGCAGAATAGTTAGTAAGAAGGAAATCGCCTGCCTGTACCTGCCCCGAGCTCAAGGCCATAGGCTCTGGTCCAGCATGTTCAGGGATTTGCTCCGTGTTTCCCACAGCTTGCTAGGGCATTGCTGACAGCTACAGCCGGGAAGGTCAGTACAAACCAAGGTCAGAGAACATGGCCCTTGCAGAGGTACTGAGCCACCACTCGCTCTCCCACTCACGGGCAGTGCTTGCAGTGAGCATGGCTGGAACAGGGCACGGATCCTCCCCAGCTTGCCCTCAGCCGATCTCCTCCTCCACGACCAGCGTGGGGATGGCATTAACACTGGCAGGGGAAGGAACACAGCACAAGCATCAGGTACCAGCACAATGGCAAAAGGAGAGGAAAGAAAACCATCTGTAGTTTGCAAAGAGAGCTGGCTTGGGTGGAAGGGCGGCAGGAGGGGGCTGGACAGCCGGGCACTTTTCAGCATGGAGCTGCACTCGCTGCCCCTCCCCACGTGCTCCCATGCTGCTGGCTGCATCCTGGAGCTCTACTGTTGCAAATCCGGACTATGCTTTTTTCCAACCTAATTTTCTCAGGAACTGACCCAGTTCTAACACTCAGGAACTGGCATTCACCCTACTGGCAAATGTTTCTCATCTGTTTCAAATGATCTGTCCAGTGTGACCTTTTCTGCTTAAGTAGCTTACACAATGAAAGTACATGATCATTAAATCCTAATCTTGCATAACTCTGAAAGCAGGGCCATACGTTTACCAGCAGCAAGGGACTTTTTTTCCCCCCATTCTTTGCTGAAAATAAGAAGGAAACAGCCAGCACTGCAACTGCAGTCAACCTTAGCCATAAACCCCTCGCTCCCAAAGTTCACAGGGCACTCAAGGTACCAGGGTTTGCACCACCCATTTCTGCTGCTCTTCGCTTTGGAAAGATGAAAAGCGAGGGGCTGTTCACCTGTTCAGGGCTCTTCAACCACAGGCAAACCCCCCACAACTTTCTGGGGGTGTTTCCCAACCAAATGGCACCACAGATCAGGACAGTGGTGGGTCATGGGCTTCCCAGTTCCCCACCCCAGAGCTCCCCTTGGCACCCAAGAGGACTAACTGGTCTTCACAGTCTGAGTGCTCTTCCTCATGCTCATCTGTTTCCAAAGCTGTGGTCTCACCCAGCACATAGCAGTTGGTACCTGTTCTGGGAGGTAGTCACTATAGCTAGACGTACGGGATCAATTTTTATCTTTAGCATAGCAAAAGGTGAAAAGGTTCTGAAATTTTGCTTGCAACTGCCTTGAAAGTTCAAAAACTTCAAAAGCATGAAGGATGGTCATGCTCTTTCCATTGGCACCTACCTTCATAGATTCTTACTGGAGCCAGAACCAAATAGCTGTGATGGGATGGTAATGGCTTCACACCTGAAAAGGGACAGTGCCTCCGCCAGGTCTGCACAGCCGAGTGCAAGTCTACCTGCATGAGCATGGTGAAATGGAGAGGATAACTGGCAGGTGGAAAGGGGCCTGATCCTGCCTTTGCTGCTCAAAAACATTCCCATTGACTCCAACTGGGAAGCGACAACACATTCATTTGGGCATCAATTCAAACAGTGATAGCGTTAAGTCTTGTATGGGTGCTTGGAGGACAGTTTTCTTCTGAACGAGAAGCACTCTATTGATTCCTCATTCTCAGTGTTCTTAATATGTCTGAACTGTTTCTCAATATGCCTAAATTTGGCTGTGGAAAGATCCAGCCTCAGCCACAGCCTGTTGCTTGTTGGGGCGCCTGCATCACAGCTTCCATCTCTCCAAAACATCCTTTATTGTCCCTCCTGGTGGGGAGCTGCTGCAACCAACTTCCCTCAGCTCATGCAAGGCAAGATGGAGATGGCCCACCTATGTATTACTGATACATAGGTGGGCCCCTGGCTGGGCCTTTGGCACAGCAACAGGAATCATGAGATGTTTTTTCAGCAAAGTGTATTCAGTACCAGAGCTCTCACCTGGGGCAAACCAGGTGCAGTTGAAGCACCCGCCCCTTCCAAAGGGTGCTCCAGGCTGGGGGCAAGGGAGGGATCGCAGAGTGGTGCAGGAAAGGAGGGATGAAGTAAATGGTGACAGGCAAGGCTACACAAGGGTCATGTTGACCACCCGAGCTAAAGTGCCTAGCTCACGGGAGAGGAGCAAGGGGTGGATGATTTTGCACATTTCCTGCAGAGCCCTGGGAGGCGGAAGCAGCTGGATTGGCTCCGGAGCCAGCAGAGTCAGCAAGCTCGGGGGGAGGCACTGCGGTGGGTCAAACCGGGGCTGACCCTGGGGGCCACCGGCTGGAGCCACGCAGGCCACGGTGCTGCGTGGGGCCGCAGCTCCACGGTGCCAGGGACAGCTGTGCACTGCTGCTGCCACCAGGAGCCCAGGCAGCCTCCAGCAGGCAGGCTGCACTGATTATGCCATTTGGTTCTGATTTTAATGACTCATTTAACTGTTTGAAAAATTACTTTGCCCTACTTGAGCAGAGCCATAGCAAAAATTAACACCAACACCTCATAAATCCTGGCAATGTCCTCTCTGGTGCTAGCTCAGTAAAGCCTTTGGTCGCGTGGCAAGTGCCATAACATTGCGATTTGGCCTCTGATCCCCAAAGAGGGCAGGCGGGCCTCTTTAAAAAGCCAGTGCTGAGCAGAGCAGCCATGAGGCTGCTGAGGAGCTGGGCAGCCAGAGGCAGGCGGCCTCCCGTGCACTTAGAGGTTCAGGTAAGAGCACTTTGCTGGTTTTAAATCTTTCTGAGTAAGCCTTTGCTTATTTTTACTCGCCTTGTGAAACCACGTGAACATGTTAAAATTAACTGTACTGGAAATGGAAAAAGCTTCCTCCACTGACATTCAAGCAGTCTTTGGATGCGGTTACTCACCAGCTGCAAGTTATAGCTGCTGCTTTCCCCAGCTCTGCAAGCTGGCTCTCCTTATCACTGCATCCTTGCACTGAATTATGAGACCTTTCTGAAGCAGAGACTTATGCATACAGCCAGGTTTGTACTGACACAAGTTTTATGTCTTGTTCGATGTGTTAAGAAGTAATTCCAGTCATTTCTTTCAACTGGAACTGCTCCTTATGTTCTCATGTCACAGTGAAACAGAAAAATTACTGGGTTTGCTTATACTTATGTGATGGACTTGGGGAGATTTGATATAAGTTTAAATTAAAAATTAGTTGTTAAAATTGTTGTGGTTTTTAATCGCTTCTGTGTGTTGCCAGTTAGAATTTCTGGTTAATTTAAAATAACACCCCCCCCAGCCTGCCCAGCACAACCTGTCTCTTCCATCTCCCCTGAGCCACTTCTTCAAATGATGGGGGTTTTGTTGGTCCCAGCCCTCGGATTTCCCAAGGTCCCTCTGACTTGAAGCTCTGCCGTTCAGCAGAACCCCAATTTCACCTTGTCGCACGGTAGCCACGGATGCAGAAGAATAAGCAGCCATGCCAGAGCATCACCTGGGAGTCCACCTTTTATAGCCAAGGCTGCATGGACAATGTAAAGCGAGTTTGTGATCTGAAAGGAGCTCAGAGATACACTGCATGTTCGCGTAGGTGTCGCCACGTTCTTACACAAGCAGAGCTCAAGCAGCGGCCTCAAGCTTTCACAAAGATTGGTATCTATAGCTAATCTATGTGATCCCTCTCTCCCTCCCCAATCTAGACCTATACTGTATCTATATGTAAAAATTAAAGAATATTTTTTTTTTTCTTTTTACCTGTAATCCCTGTGCTTTCTGGCATAGGGAAGCACGCGGGGCTGGTGTGTCTGTAGGCAGCGATTCCTACCCATGAAATCTGAAGGAAGCAGAAGACCCCCCAAAAAAACTCTGCTGCTCTCTCAGTGTCCATCTTCCCTCCAGCAGACCTGCTCAGGAAGAGAAATTTGTCCCTTTCAAAAATTATCTTGACAACTAAGAAGACTTCTCGCAAGCATTCCTACCATTTCTTTCTTGTTGGGTGGTGAATTAGAAAGGAAATTATCTCTCTGCTTTCTTTGCTTTTTAGTCACGAAATCCTGAAACAGGAAAGCCAAAAGCTGACAGTTGCATAAGACAATTTTGTTTATTGGAGAAGGGAAGACTCAGGCATTCTGTTTTGGTTTTTTTTTTAATGAAAATGTCATTGTTCCGAGGCGCTTCCTACAGCAGGCAGGTCAGTTGCTCAGCTGCGTCACCTTTTCCACAGAAGAAGTGTGGCAGACAGCTTGGTGACTGAAGTACAGGCTGACGTGCCGTTGGAGAATGTACTTAGCTAGCCAGAAACTATTTCAAACGAAGCTAAAGTCATCCATGTGTGGCCATCCCCAAAAGCTACAAATAAAAGTCCTCTGGGAAATGATTAATCAGACTTGGTAAACGAGTAAAAAGGCGTTTGTTGTCAGTGTTCACCCTGCAGAGGGAATGCCAGGGCCCCACCGATGCTCTGATGCCTTCCTGACGGACTGCTTTATTTCTCCAGCCTCCGTGCGCCCCAGCCACAGGACTGCTTTTCTGACGCCGCACACCTCCCAGCGGGCACCTCTGACATCATACCTGTGAATGGCTCTCCGGCAGCTTTGGGCTCTCTCCGTGGCACTGGTGTGGGGCTGCGTGGCGTCCTCCTCCCCCCAGAGCGCAGGTAAAGCCCGGCGTGCTTCCCGTGTCACCGCCTAACGCCTGCGTCGCGTTAACGCGGGCCCTGCGTGGCCTTAGTCCTTTAACCAAAGCTTTGCTTGTGCGTGTGTTACAGCGAGTGGCTGATTTATAATCCTGTATTCAATTGTGTAAGTGTATTGTGTGTTTAGTGGGTATTTTTCTGAGTAACTTCAAAAGGAGCAGAAACTGCCTTTGGTACACAGCAGATATATTCTTTCATATAGAGTTTTCAAATATAAATACCACTTGGATACATAAATGCTCCTGAGCATGGTCCCAGCCGGACATACTGCGCTAGGTGTAAGAAACACCAGGATTATTCACAACTGGAAAATAATACTTCCTTCTAAAAAAATACTGCTCTGCAAGCTATCATCCATGGCAATGGCACTTCAAGCCCCCTTTGCTTCAAGCCCTCAAGCACCTCTTTGCTGCACTGCACCCAGGAGCCTCCGGTAGCTGTGACTTTGTACCCAAAAGCTTTCCTTCTTCAGAGAGACAGGAGCAGGGCTGGCCCTCCCTGCCGCAGGCGGTGCACAGTGGAGAGGTGAAAACTTGGCCGGGAGGGAGCCGGGAGGTTGCGTGTCCTGCCAGCTAGCACGGAAAGCTGCCAGCAAACACGTTGCTGCCACGCCGAGCAAAGCAGCATTGCCTTTAAAATGGGCTTCTCAAAACAGGAAAGCTGCCTGCACCTTATGACCAGCACAGAGAAGTACAGACATAGAAGATATGGGGGGGCACCTGGCCGGCTGCCATTTTTCCACTGGCAAAATAGTTGGAAAATTGCAAAACCTCCTGCATCTTGCACCACCTCCGGCACAGCGTGGCCTGGGGTGAGGCAGCAGGAGGTGGCCGGGGATAAGCAGGGTTCGTCATCAAAGCGGCAATGTTCGGAGAGGGTGCCCGGCAGCCAGGAGTGGGGGGCCGTGAGGGCTGCAGCCGTCTCGCCAGCACATCACTACCTGACTCACCGCCATGCAAATCAGGTAGACAGGCTAGGGTGGTTTTTTTTTTTTTCCAAGAAACAGTCAGGAGCAGCTTTCCTTCAAGACTGGGTAATGAAATAGAGTATTTCTAGTCCTGTGTTCTGTATGAACGATGTGAGCAAGACTGGTTTGTCATGTAATATTGTGAAGATGAGAAATTGCAAGCAGCAGTGCTGACATTTAAAAAACAATCAAATCCCAGAACGCAAGCCACATCCCAAAAAGCAGCTTTTTCATTTCCTCTGCAATCCAGGCAAAATTTATTTTGCAAGAATTGCTGTTTACAGTTGCAATTGTTTTGAAAAAATATTACTGTTTTCCTCAAGCTCAGGATGGAAACAAATTCCAGAGTGTTATCGTTTACAGTCAGAAATTCTGATCCTCTCTTGACAGCTTATCACCAGGCTCATGCCAAAGGCTAGTGGGTTTTCGCTTCCCTGTTTGCATAGCTGCGAGGCTCAGCCTTTATCCACTCGGGAGCATCTCCCCGAGCGCGGGAGAGTCCAGCTCGCAGCCCAACCAGCAGATCTCCTCGGCCAGCCTGTCGTGGAGCTCACGCTTCCCAGCCGCCCTAACAGGGTTTGACTCTAGGATGTGGTGCGTGGGCGATGTGAAAGCCCTCCCTCATGCCAGCCCAGCCTGGGATGGCCAGTGGGAGGAACATCCCTTCCCCTTCTCCCCCGTCCCTCCTCCGTGTGGCTATAAATTGCCGTTCTGGGAGAGCTCTCATTCATTTTTTAGCAGCTGCAGCTCTTCAAGCACTGTTCCTGCAGAGCTGCTTCTCCCTTTCCTGGAGCCTTTGAGTGTTTGCAAGGACCCAGGAGGTGGGTGAGAAGCCCTCACCTCGCCCCTGCTCCCACCTCTGATGCTCACCAAGAGCCCAGCTTGAGCACTTCTTGCACAGGCAGAGCTGCCCGTGCCCCTCCTCTGCCCATGCTGGGAAATGTGTGCCTGTTGCAGTGTAGCGATATCAGACTCTCGCCTCCAGTGGGATCATGGGGCTGCTGAATACAAGATCTTGCGTGTGCAGGGCCATGCCCCATTGCCCATGGAGCTGGAGCAAGCCCACCACCATGCTCTGAACCCAGGCTGCATTCATGGGACTCACAGTTGGTGGGAGGGAGAGTGTTTTACTTGTGACACAGAAAAATACATAAAATCTAATTTTTCTCAAATTATTTCTCAAATATAGTCAATTATTCCTTGCCCCAGCACCTCCCTAAATACACTGCCATGATATGCTTTGCCATCGAACATAACAACAAATCACCCATGGAGCTCCCACATGCTGGGAGATGTGGGATGGTGAGGCTGCTGCCTGTGCTGCGTTTCATTTGAGAGAGTTTCCTTAGAAGAAATAAATGCCCCAACGATGTTATCTGCAAACTTTCCAAGGAGCACATTAAAGTTTTATCTATATCACCATCTTCCACTGAAAGATATTCTCAGGGTCTGCTGTCATGATGAATTTATTAGTAGAAAGAAAAAATAGTGTAAATCCTGACGAAGACATGGAAAAAGTGGCAGAGAAGCCAGTGACCTGGGGGCCAGACTCAAACAGAGAAGTGGTGGCAACGCTGGACTGACACTGCCAGGAGATGGGCTCCAAATCACCATGAAAAATGTGTGTCATGCAGTGAATATGTAGCAACCCAAATGGATAACCTCACCTCTAGACAGTGGAGAAAAATGACCTTAGATATTACAAAAACGGACTGTATTTGAACTGGTAAAACTGAACAGCCAAACAGCTTTCATCATATGAATGACAGCTCCGTACGGAGCTGGGCTTGTAGGAAGCATGTCTTAGTATGGAATTCATCCATAATATATGCTGATTTACTGACATATGGCAGCACATTACAATAGCTTAATAAAAGCCAGATTGACTTTAAGAGCGCATTTTTGTATAGCTGATAGATGTCCAAAATAAGAATGATTTTAACTCTCTGCTTTCTGCTTCTGTATGGTTTTTAGCTTGATTTTTCATTAATCTTTAATATACTTGAAAGGAATATGGGTGATTTGTGTCTGTTACGGTTAAGAAATACAAATTTTCCTGACAGCATGCTGTGCTCTGTCATCCTATGTTGGTATACGTGCTGAACACAGTGTTTGCAAGGATACTTGTCCTGACAGCCAGTAAATATCATGAGTTAAAATCAAGCAAATATAGGACTTGAAAGGTCATCCCAGGACAGTAGTTTTGCTTAAAATGTCTTGAAAAAGAGTGCCAAAGATGTGGCATTCGTTGTGCCTTTCCAAAGGCCCTTGAATGTTTCCTCTGAGCATCAGCAAAACCTGGCTTTTGGGGGTGGGCAGGAGTAGAGCTTGTGCGTGTTTGTTGAGAACAGGCTGTGAGATAGCCAGGGCTGGACCTAGACCAGCAGTGCTTCCCTCCACAGCCAGCAGCTGCATTTGTCATCTCATCAAATTTCACAATTTTTTTTTTTTTATTTCTTTACTTCGACACTGTTTTACCCCTTACTTTGTTTTCAATTCAGTTGCTCCCCCACAAGACCTTCAGATCACTGATCCTGGACTCTTAGGTTCTCTCGATATAGAGTGGAAACCTCCACCCCATGTAGAAACCTTCACTGAATGCACAGTAAAATACAGGCTTGAATACCGCAACACTGGTGACAGAGACTGGAAGGTAAGACAAAAGCATGGTTTAATCCTCTTAAATCCAGGCTATTGTTCTGCCTTTAGCTCCTGCATAGGTTTATGTTTGGATTTCAAGTAGGAGTGGTACAAAAGCTGTGCCAGCTTTCCATGAAAAAGCCGGACCGTTCCAGGGGTTTGAATCTTTTGCCAGATGGGAATGTGTTTTGAAATGTAACAGCAGCAGTCAGAGAAGGGGCTATTTCTGTCACAGAGCGTGGTGCTTGCTGCCAGAAATAATCCAATAACATCTGGTAGCATTCCTCGTAGTAAAAAGCACTACACTTTTTAGAAAGTCTTTACAGGACTTGAACTGAAACTCGGTCTCATGAGATCCTTAGGGATGCAAAGTGGTGAGTAAATAAAAGATTAAATACCATTAATTATCCTAACGCTCTAACATTTCCTTTATCCAGAAGGGTGCTTCTAATTACCATTTACTTTTGTCTTGTAGATACGGTTGACTGTAACTCAGCTCTGTGATAAAATTGTCAGTCTTCTCTCACTGATGCGGAGCAGGGCAACAGCAGACATGCACAGTACAGGAAGGCTTGTAGGAAAGTACTTGGGGAGTGCTTAGGGAATGAAAGCTCCTGCAGGGTTAGGAAGGTAAATGGAGTGGGGAGAGGAGAAACCCAGCAGTGAGCTGTTTTGTTGGTGCAAGGTACTGAGGTACACATGAAAAATGTGCCGAGGATGTCCCACAACAACCCAAATACAGATTGGTGTCCTGAAAGAGATATTTTTTTTTTTGCACAATCCTCAATCATGAGTGCTGGAGAGCTTGCCTGCTCAAGAGACCAGGGGGAGAGAGAGGGCGTAGCGGCATTAGGTCAGCAGTGCTGTGGACCCTGGCCTCTTGCCACGAACGATTTCTGCATGTCCTGCACGAGCTGGCCATCCGCTCTGCCCGCCCAAAGCAGCAAGCCAAGGCTGCCAGGCTGCACGCAGTTGCCATGCAAATGGGTTTTGGCCCAGCCACCCCATGGGAGCCTGCAGAGGTGGAAGAGCACGGTGCCTCCTGCCCTGTTTCAGCTGTAGATTGCAGTTGTGAGGGCACGGAAAGGGGCTCTTCGACCTGACATGGGGTGCTCCCAGCCATGCAGGTGTGCGGATTGTTCTATGATGACTTTAACTGGCATTTAAAAAGCACAAAGGAAAAAACTGCAGGTTATAAAAACATGTCAGAATTCCCTATATCACAAGCAATAAAAGTGTCTTACACAAGGCAGATCTAAAAAGTAGAAAAAAATCACCTCTGGTACCTTGCCAAAACCTTGAGCCCAAATGAGGTCACAACAAAGAGTCAGTCTGAAAAAAATCCATGGGACATCAGCGGAAGCAAGAGTCATCGATGTCTGTTAGAAGCACATGGCTCAACACGGCTCTTACACTCTGGGACTACTGAGAGACCCTGACTGTGGGCTGTGCCGTGGCAGTTCCTGCGGCAGCACATGTACACATTTTATGGCACGTTACTTCTGTCCTGCTTGGGCTAACCCTTGGGCTAACCTTTCTCTCCCTCACCATTTCTTGTAACTCTTGCCAACTTATTTTTCCCTTGCATAAAGTAAAGGGGAGTAAGTCTGAGGAAAACAAATGAAAACCTTCAGAGGGAGTGCTCAAAAACTCCCGCAAAGGGCTAAGCCTGGCAGCACGCGCTGGTGAGCCTGTGCTGCGCTGCCCGGCTGCTGCTCCATCCTTGCAGGGTGTGGCTGTGCTTTCCGTGGGAACTGCCAGTTACAAGACTCCTTGTTTCTTCTGATTATCTTGCCTCACAAACAAGTGCCTTTTATTTGGATTTATGGCGGTATCCTTGTCAGACCTTCCCTGGTGCTCCTGCCTGGTGGTGAGCCCTTGAACCACAGTCTGCTCTGTCTTGACATTGCTGGTGTCCTGTGGGGTGGAGGGGCTCAAAGCTGGCAAGGGCTGGGCAGAGCAGGCGGTACAAGAGTGCTGGAGAAGCACTGGGCAGGAGAAGCAGGACAGAAATGTAAATAAACATTAAAGCAGATGAATGAGCCTACTCGCAGCTAGAGCAGGAGGAATGGTAGCTAATCCTGCAGCCCACTTAACAACAAAAGAGGTGCTTATAAATTCTGTCTTTCAACCAGGTTATTTTTACTAGGAAGCTAAAAAGCAGAGTTGGATTTGACCTCAGCAGGACTGCTGAAGTGAAGGTACAGACGCTGCTCGAAGGACGATGTACTGATGACGTGGAGGTGCAAAGTGCCTGGATTTATGCTACCTTTCAGGTGCCATTGCAAGGTTAGGAGCAGCCTTCAGTACCTTGGGTGGTTTTACATTTTGCATGAACCTGTTGCATGAACCACTGCTGGCCTCAGGGTTGCTGGATGGATAAACCATTGCAGGGCTTCTTGAGGTGTAGGACACCAGAGCATCTCTGATTCCACTGGCTGTGGTTACTGGATGCTTGGGGCTCATTTCCCTCTGCCCGTACCCCAGCTCTGCTGGGTTGCCCTGCATGAGCTCCGCGCTGAATGACAAGGTTGGTTATGTATCTTCCTGCTCTAAGCGCAGTGAACTGGCTTTTATAGGAAACAGAGCACTTCGCAGCAGAAGTATCTAATAACGGTGACTGACCTTCTTTTCTTTTCCTTTGTGTCTTTCAACTGCAGCACAGAATTGTTCGAAGACGTAAAATGATATTTCTGCTGAGCTAAACTGGTATGATGCTAAATAGTGGTTATTTCCTTCTCATTTGACAGGAAAACTGGAATCAGAGGTTCAGAATTTCCACTGCATCTATCATGACTGGGAATACCTCAAGTGTACTTGGCAACCAGGTCTCCTTGCTCCTCGTGGCGTACATTATGGACTGTATTATTGGTATGTACCAGTGAAACAGAAAAACATCCAGGTAGCAATCAAGCAAACCTCTCAGGATACTAAGATGCCATGGCAAAGATGCTTTTATAGCTGGCAATGCTATTACACAGTCCACCCAGAATGAGCAGAAATAGTGCCCCAAGCAGCATGTGCCTTCTGGCATGGAAGTACCAAATCCCTGCTTCCTTCATTTAAATCAGGCTCATGATTACTTTCTACAAGGAATGCCTTCTCCCTTCCTCCTTGCCCCTGTATTCACCCCAGTGGAGTACTTTCTCCATGCCGTCCATCACAAAGCCTTGTGCTTTCCCTTTGCTGAGCGTACCCGGATCATTCCGACTGCCCATTTCCCTCGATCACAGGTCATATATCTCTATAGGACATGATTCAGATTGCCAAGCTCAGTGAACCCTACACAAAGAGCAGGGCTTCTTGGCAACTAACAGTTGTACTCTTCAAATATATTTTCATAGCCTTAGCACATCTCATACAAGCAAACATGCTGCAAAAAGGGAGTAATAATGCATGTTTCTCAGTTGCTTCTTTTATACTGCTGCCTAACAATTCAGTTCTGCAAGAAGAACAAAGCTAGACTTAGTGGGTTTGGACAAAGTAAATGCTGTATTTGTGCTTCCATTCCTATGATGCTATGGTAAGGATGACTAGTTAGGAAATCGTGGGGTTTCATGCCTTTGGGCTACACGTAGAAAACGATAGCTGCTTTTTAAAAATAGTTTCCATGTAGCTTTTGGAAATAGTCTTCAAAGCAGAAACACTGATTTAAAACCGTTTTACTAATTACAAAGGTCTGCTTGAAGGAAACCATGGAAATCCATGATTTATTCCTTAAAAAAACCTCAAACCAAACCACAAAACCCCCAACAAATCCACCCTTCACTTAACTGCCTGTAACAAAGCCAGGCATTGGGATCTGCATCCCGTTGTAAAAGGAGAGTGGGTCAGAACACAGCCATGACATGCTTTGATCCCTGTGAGTTAACTTTTACAGCACTACCACATGAAGTTTTTCCCTAAGACATAATGTGCTGTGCAGGGAGACTTTCATTAGGTGTAGAGTACAGAGCTCCGTCTCAAGGGCACTAACCCAGCAGGAGTCTTAAAAGGTAATATGAAACACCACTTAATATTTTCAGGATGGGGCCAGCAGCTGAGCTTTGGGGAGTGGCACCCCAAAGACAGGAGGCAGTTTGAAAGGATGGGTTTGTGGTTGCACATTAGCTAATAACCAGCAAACCCCTTCCTCTCTCCCACCCCTGGCTTTCCATTATGTGCCCACATAGATGCGTGGGACCTACCCGCAATCAGCTGTAGCAGCTCGTTATCACTCATCACATTCATGGCACATGTTACCTGCCACAAACTGCTGCGTTTTGGCTTGGGAGGGGATCTTTCTGCAACTCCAGAGCTGGTGGCTGATGGTGCCGTAAATGCCCCATGGGAGGATGGGTGTCTCCGTGAGCAGAGGCCAGATCCTGGCCAGGCTCCACTCACACAGTGACACCTCATGAGGCCTCTTGTGCTCCAGGAATGAGCTTGGTGAGAGGCTCACACAGCCAAAAAACCAACCCAGGAAGCCATCTGTGTGTGTTAATTTGTTTTTTATTGTCCCCACGCTTTTCCCATAGCAGGACTCCAGGTGACTGATGCATAACTCTGTGCTTTGGATCACTTGCGAAAGGCAAAGGGTGGGTAGGATATAGGCGATACTCAAGGTGTAGGTCCAATCTTAAACAAAAGGCCTTACCCAAGTACTAACTGCATTGCTTTGGTTATTTTTTTCTTTCTGTTTTCCTAATACACCTCTAGGTACGAGGGGCTGGACCACGCAGCGCAGTGTGATGACTATATTCAGGATCATGGTATAAACATTGGCTGCATGTTGCAAAATCTGAGCCAGGCAGAATATAAGGATCTGAGCATTTGTGTCAATGGTTCGGCAGCAGCCCCCTCCACAACCTAGGTAACATTGGCAGGAAAGCAGCAGGGCTCTGGGGACCCACACGGCCACCACACACCCAAGGCTCATGTCTTGCACGAGGGGGTTCAAACAAACGTGCACTCTTGTAGAGGGGCGGCTGTAATGTGTCTGGGTGGATTTCCCCCTGGAGAAGGGGCTGTGGCATGTGCCACACAGCACTTCAGTTTCCAGCAGTGTTTGCAGGCGAGCCCAGCCTGGAGGGTCAATGGGCAGATGGCAGAACAGCTGTGGGTTTTTTGGTTCTAGCAGCAGTGCTACAGAGGTTGATTCATTTACTCCTGCTGGAATCAAAACCACTGCTCCACTCCTGCAAGCACAGGAAATATCTTTGGGCTTTGCTGTTCCAACCAAGCTGAGGGCTGGAGAGAATCGAGTCCAAGGTATGATGGGGTTTGTCAGAGAAAAGGTGGGTTTCAAACCCATTGGAGACAGGGAAAGGAAGCAAAGCACAGCATGATGTATAACCCAATGCCTGTACTTGTTCTTTATTATGGGCACTTACCATGCTGATTGCATTTACCCACACATAAATGTTAGGGGGATAAATAGCTAGTCCTCCATTTAACCCACTGGGCTAATAAGCAGGATTTCTGGATTCAGTTAGTGCTGCCATGTGCTCCATGTGTGGCTTTGGGCATCTGACATAAAACAGAGCCTCTCCTGGGATGCCAATGCTGTTGCAGTGCCGCACTGCAGGGGCTGAGGTGCCCTCAGAGCACAGGGAGGGCTGGCCAGCCACATTGGGAGGGCAACATGCCAAGCACAACTCTCACACACCCTAGGGTTTCAAAAGCCCTGCACTGCAGCCCAGAGCAAGGACCTAGCCCAGCCCACATACCAAGTAAGTTAAAATAAAGAACTCACCCTCCAGCCTCAGTAGCATCCTGGTCCTGCAGCATCATGGCTGCTGGTAATAGGAGCTGAGAAATTAATGGGGAAAAGGGGCAGAGGATGGCAGTGATAAACTGAAGCCTTTCCCACCAGGAGCTCTTGGATTGCGCCTCCTGACATTCCCTCTTTTTGTCCCCCCCAGCAAAGCCCTCACCCCCGAAGCAGCTGGTGGTTTCCATGTCTGCATCTGAGGAGCTCCACGTGGCGTGGAGCCCACCAGGTGGTGAAACGCCACCCCAGTGCCTGGAGTACGAGGTTCAGCTGGCAGAAGATCACGGGGAGGCCAATGCTGCCTGGGCGGTAGGGACAACGGGGAGGGGAAAGGGTGGGGAGCTCTGCCTGAGGGCCAGCAGTGGGGCGATGGCAGAAAACTGGGGTTCGCACTGAGTTGGGGATGGCGTGTTAGCTACCCTGTGCATGGGCTGTGCTGAGACATTAGCTGGTGATGCCGGCGGAAAATGCTGACGAGCTGCTCCATTGCACATGTTCCTACTTAACACCCTGACCTGCAGCTGCAGCATTTGCTTTAACAGTAACAGATCTCAGCACGAGTCTCTGAGTGATCACTTTCTCTGCCTCCTGCCTGTTATCTCAGAAAGCTGTCATCACAGAAATTCAAAGGTTCTTGTGGTTTGTTTTCCTGAACATGGTGGCACAACTTTGTCCAATGCAACTATAATTCTAATCTCTCCAAAGAAGTGGCCTGGGACACAACATGTCTTTTGTGCATGGTGCTTTTTCCTTGTGCATTATCCAGGTGCAGTTTTGACAGCAAAAATGGCAAGAACTAACTAATCATAGAGGTCTTCTGAAGGACTTTTTTTTTTCTTTAATTGCCATATTCTGCCCATGAGTCTTCCTAGCTAATGTAATGAAAGATTCCATAAATTAACAGGCATAAATAGCAACACGCATGATGGCAATCCCCAGAATGTATGTATTTTCAGTAGATTCATCTCCATAATCATCTTATTGGCATTGGCTGGTCCAAAACTATTATGAAATCATTTAAACCCGCCAAAACATAATCCAAGAGTTTGCAGAGCCTGGAGAGTATGTTCAGAAACATCAGGCCATGCCAGAGGGCTACTGGTGGTGGCACATAATTGACATTTGTTCTCTGTTTTGTTTCTCAGTCTGTGTCAACCCAAATGGAGACCACTTTAACAATTTCCAGAGCAAATCAAAGCCGTATTTCATGTGTTCGTGTCAGGGGGAGAACAAATATTTTCTGTGCTGACCAGGGCTTTTGGAGTGAATGGACGCCGGAGTGTTTCTCTGGTATGGAACCCAAAGTAATCAGTGTTTCTTTTACGTCCTTTGTAAAGCCTGTTTGGGACCAAGCGCTGATGGCTGCCATGGGCATCTGCTGGTGTCCAGCACTGGAGGTGGGATCCTGGTTTAGTTACACCCTCAACCTACACAGCCATTCCTACAGCTTTGCATCTCCCATGTACTGAGCAGGCAAGCCCCAGAATATTAATGCTTCTGCACCAGCACCTTTCCCTGCTGCACGGGGACAGCTGTGATGGAGGAGAGACCGCTCTGTGAGAGACGGCACGTGATACTTGGAACCCCTCCGCAGGGCATCCTCCTGGCTTCCCCGCACCACGGGTCAGCTCCTTTGCACCCCAGAGGCTCTACAGGGCTGCCCCCACGTGCACCAGCTCCGCTGCAAGATGCTGAAGGCAGGAAAAAGGCACACAGCACTGGCTACATATGTATGCCAGATATATGTTATTCTGAAGGAGTATGTTATCCTAGACAGTAACATATACCTGGTATATACCTTAAATAAATGAATGAATGAATGAATGAATGTGGGGTAACAAACCTGGACACACTGAGTTTGCATCTGAGCCCAAGCTTTGTAGAGGTAGCGTGACCCGTTCTGGAAGCTAGCGTTTTCTTATTTGCTGTCATTTATCTTTGCAGTCTCCACAAAAGAGGACAAGCAGCTATTTATCCTCGTTCCAGTCATTCTGAGTTTGTCAAGTACCCTCTTAATATGTATGTTGGTTGGCCAATGCAAGAAAAGGTAAGCACCAAGGCAGCCTGTCCATGCAATGTGCTTTTACTCACACTTTACTGGGTGTCTCAGACTACAGTAATCAACGAAACAATATATAAATACTAAGAACCAAACATGAATAAATGCTGTAAGATTAGACACCAGTTTATTTTCAGGAAACAACCTTGTAAGTGTGGCTGTTTCTGATATGAAATGCCTCACGACAACCCATAAACTCACAGCAGAGACCAAATCCTGCTCGTATGAGCCCAGACTGCTTCTGTTAAATGCAGCAAAGTTACTTGCATGCACAGCAGCATAGGTAATGCCATTATCTTGCCTCAAACCACTCGGACAGCAGAGATTCGTACTGGTTGTGTTAAAGAAGAGCCATTTTTATGGGCTAAGGCCTCATTCTCCTTGTGCTCCCGTCCCAGTTGTTTGCATTCATGTCAGTGACAGCACGTGGGGAAAGCAGATGCAGTAGATGAATTTGCCCATATCCAAATTATTGGTACTGATGACATTTTCTTCAGGTCTGAAGGATCACTTAGAGAGAACTGTTCCCCTTGTGCTGATAGCTATTATCTTTTCCTTATGGCCATACAGTGTAACCAAGTGGGTAGCTTTTCTAATACGCCTTTTAGGACACCACTGATGAGGGAGAACTGGCTATAGAAATACCTTTGTGTTGTCCTCAGGGATGAACTAACACCTATTTCGTAGCTGAAGATATGGAGTCTGACACACACACTCCTTCACCTGTGTTTTGTATCGGCCTTTCAAATGTTTTGGTTCATGAAATTCAAACAAAATGTAGGTGCTAGCAAGAAAACTGTGGAAAGCAAATGCTTCCCGCATTGCCACTGGGATGCGGGGATGCTGTACTGTGTCCCCAGCTGTCTCTCGGCACTGGGAATAACAGTCTGTGCCCATTTCAGATCCCCTGCAGGAAAGCCATTGCATGCATTGGTGGGATGCTAACTCTGCTTGCGACTGCTGTACTGCTTGTGTTTGATGGATTGCTCAGAACATCATCCCAAGGACAGCTGAGAAGCCCTGAGCTTTCTATAGCCCACATGGGTCTTCCCTACCTGCTGCCATTTGTGAGGCTGGTTGTTGCAGTTCGAGTCCTCAACGGGCCCAGGAAAACATTGGAGGAGTTTTAAACTGAATCTGGAGCGAGCTGTTTCTGATAACGGGACAAGGGAGAAAAAAAGGAGGTGGTGGAAACTGCCATGAATAAAGATAACATGTTGCTATGTGGGTTTGGTTTTGACTTTTTGAGGACTCTAGTAATCTGTCAGCAGGGCACACACCGAAGGGCAGCACCTCACACACCACGCTAGGGACAAACGCCAGCACCCAGCCCCTGCGCTCGGCCTCGCCCTCGCCACATCTTCCTCGTCCCCACGTACTCAGCCTCCTGAGAGCATCTAAATGCTGAACATGAGCTGCTTAAGCTATTTATTTCATTAGTGGGTATGCTTTATCTGCTGCAAAGCTGAAGTGGGAAGGTCTTGAAAGAAACTTTTGCTGTAAAAAGGCACGATCACAGCTACTGCAAAGGACAGATGCTTCAGAGGAGAAGAAGTGAGAGTTACTCTGGCAAAGGCAGTGTGGGAACTTCTCTAGGAAGCTGATGCTGGTGCCAGAATTCAATGAAGCACCCAAGATGTCTCTCAACACCATGTATTCAGCTGATGAAATTGCTGACTGATTTTTAAGGAACCATTCCCTATGATGATGATGATAAAAAAAAAAAATAGCACTAGATGAGACGCTGTCCTCCAAGACCATTCTGGGTTTTTTTTGGTCAAAGAACTAACCAACTCAAACCCAGATGTTTAATGAGCTTTCATTTCATCTGAACAACCCAGAAAACATATTTTCTTGCAGGAGCATTTATTCAAAATGGGAATTTCTAGTGAACAGTGGAAACTCAGAGAAAATCAAGTTTGCGTCAATCAGCTATGTAAAGAGCCGTGCTAATCCAATCAGGCACAAAACAACACAGCAAGTGCTGTCTTACACATCCAACTGCAAAATTATTCAGTCACTATCAGCTGCTTCCACTGCTAAATGGGCAAGAACCCAATTTTATTTGGGGAGCAACCAAAGGAGGAAAGCACCAGGAAAAAAAAGGGTTTATGCACAGGCTGGAGCAGAAATGAAGTTTCCTGGCTGTTGTTATTTTGATGAGACACAACCTCTGCCTCTACTGTCTCCTGGGGCTTCTGGCCAGCCAGCATGGGATGGGTTTATGTTTAAAAATACTCATGAACGTGCAATGGGCATTGAAATACTGTGTTTTCCATTGATGAATGCAGCACATTAGAATTAGAGAAGAGAGCTGGACTTGCAAGGCACTGACTGACCTAACAGTGAAAGGACCCATGAGACAGGGGAGGAAGCAGGAATAAAGCTAGCTTGGCCCAGAAGCAGCCTCCAGCCCCAGCTCAGGGACACCTGGCCTGCAGACATCTCCAAAATGTGCTCAGTCAGAGCAATTCAAGGGAAGGCACAGTTCATACAACAGGCCAGATGCAGAAGGTTCAGGACAGCATTTCCTCCTCTGTGCAATGGGAGATAGCAGCTCTTTGCTTGGTGCCCTCCTCCCACCACCTGCAGCGTCCCCTTCCTTCCCTCTCCAGTCTCCGGCAGGACTTTTGCGGTGACAAGGGGCACAGCCCTACACCACGGCTGGCCGGCGCAATGCAAATATTTTGCTGTGACTTGCACTGGAGGCTGGGCTGTGTGCACCTCCCCTAAGAGCGATAGGCCATCAGGGCAGGGCAACCTCTGGGAGGAGCAAGCCTGGATCTCCTGCTCTGCAAGACCAGATGAGCAGAGATGCTCAGCCAAGCTCATTCTAGGGGGTTTGGGTACTTTCAGGAACTAGAGGACTTTGGCACATCCAGAACTGGGTAGTATATGGGTTATGGGTTTTCAGAACTGGCTCCAGGGCAACAGTTACTGCACAAATAATAACGGTTAAAACCAGAAAAAAACTCTAGAGAAAACTAGTGGAAAGAGCCCCATTGAGATTTGCCATTACTGGAAATAACTCCTGGTAGGCCTCTGATGTTCTGCCAGCCTCTTAAACAGTTTAAACATCTACTAAACCCACATGAGTGCATTGTGGACATCCCCCAGCGAAAGGCGAGGCAGGCAGCTAGAGCCCACCCTGCTGCCCTGGGTACGTCTGATGCGATCTCACCCACTTCACCACATGGGAAAGCTGGGCACAGGCGTTTGGAGTGGGCCAAATATAAATGGAGATATTCAAAGCCTGCCTGGATGATGTCCTGTGTAATATGCTCTAGGTGAACCTGCTTTAGTAGGAGGGTTGGACTAGATGATCTCCCGAGGTCCCTTCCAACCCTTGCCATTCTGTGATTCTGTGAAATGGCACAGCATCCTGACCTGCTGGCCGGGTTTAAGCGGGATTAAAGTTTCTAGTCTAATTTTGTCCTAAAAGAGGTGAGAAGGAAAGAAGAATTAAAGAGAATGGGTGAAGGTTAAGAGGTGGCAAAGAAATGGATGTCGTACCTCCGCAGCTAGAACTCACCCCAAAAAAGATCAGAGCTATTTCAGTAACCACAAAATATGAAAGTTAGACTGAAGCCTGCCTAGAAACCTGCCTAGTAACAGTGATAAATTAAGTACATCTACTTATGGTATCTGTATGCTGCAGATTTACAGGAGCATTTAGGTGAGGAACACTGGGCTCGGCCCTGGCCCAGGGCTCCCCGCTCACCAAACTCACCCCTGCAGCAGCGGCCAGACCACCCCCCCACCCCTGCTTTCTCACAGCATCACATCTGCAGCATGTGCAAAATTTAACCCTAATAGGCGGCCCACTGCAAGTCCTTCCTAACATCCTGAACCTTGCTAGAATTTCAGTAGTATGATTTTTTCCTATGTTTATAGAATTATACTAATTATGTATTTCTTTCACACAGTATTTGCATTACAGTAGTTTAATTCATTTGCTGTAGTCCATAATTAATATTTTCAGTAAAGCACTTTCAAAATCCCTCCTTTGGCATATTCTGCTCTTATTGTTCCCAGCTTATGTCTGGATTCCCTGGTGTTTTTACCGTCTTAGCCCCACATGTCTGGTGAGACGTGTCTTTGCCAAACATACAAAGAGAACTCCTTTGCATACCCTTGAGTTTAGGGGGTTTTCTGTCTTTGACTGATAAAGTCTTAGAGCCATTTGTTGAAGAATAAAAAGCAACCTTTCCTACAGTTTTTTTTTCCCTAGAGAATGTCAATACTTGTCAAATATATGAAAGCACGATCCTGCGCATGCTGCAGGGAAATGCAAAATCAATTTGCGTCTGTCATATTCTAACTGCTTTTGGGAAGTAGCAAAACAGGGAAGGCAAATGCCAAGGTCTCTGAACTCACAAAATCACCCTCCTTCTCTCACTGAGGTCTATTTTCAAGCTGCCAACAAGAGAATAATTCAAGAACCAGTTTACCTTCTGTTTCCTCATTATTCATCCTCATATTTTTTCATTTTTCTGACTGGCCTCTGAATAAAGATTTTGAAGTGTTTCAACTACTATAACCTGCCAATGGCTGAAAGACATAAAGCAAGGCTGGCATCTCTCAGGAGCACTTTACTCCTCTTGCACTTGAGGAAATGGTAAGGTACAAGGTGTATCTCACCTGTTGAGGCATCTCTGCTGGTTTTCCATCTTGTACAGGCACTGGAAACCCCATGGCCACTGGGTGTCAGCATCTGTGCTTGGACACAGAGGAGAGGAAAGCAGGTGCAGCACCACTTCCGACAGAATTCAGTATTTAGTGCATGAAAATTAAATAGAGGGGACAGTGGGTATCTCACTGTAAGCTAGATTAGTTTTGTTCTCTTTGCACTGCTAAGTGGAGAAGTGTCACACCTTCGTGCCATCATTCAGCACCGGGCTGGCTGCAGGTAACATCACCCCTCGTGCCTCGTGGCACCGTGACCACGGCTGCTGCACTGACCGGAGCTGCATCTCCCATGGCATGCACCAGCCAAAACCAGCCCCTGCCCTCCCTCCCATGCTCGTGCCACCGAGCACCCACAGAAGTACCCTGTCGGCTCAAACTGGAGGCTCGGCTGAGTGGGGACTGCGCCTCGCTGCATGCCCTTGACTCACTCTGGCTCCCCGAGCCTCCACAGGTCTCAGCACCCATCCCAAGCCACTGCAGCTCTAGGGAGTACCCAGATCTTGAAAGGACATAAAGCAGCACAGCCCTTCTGGCTTCAGCTTCCAGATGGAGTGCAGTAACTAATGATAGAATCTAAAATCTAAAGAGCTTCGTGGGCCACAGCAGGTTTGCAGCTCACTGCCTTGTGCAGCAGGGTACATTTGAGAGCACTGTCAAGCTCTTTATGTCTATGTAGAAGCTGAATTTTCTCAGGAGGGTCTGTGGTTCTCATAGCTTCAAGGCAAACAAGTACAGCTGATGCATGTGCTTAACAAAACAATTTGAGGCAACATATTGTGGCTGAGCTGTCTGAACAGCTGAAACGGCTCTGCAAACTGTCTGTGTCAAGATTCTCTTCCTGCAGTACAGAGAGATAAAGCAACCAGCTGAGAAACGACGGCCACCCTGAGGTTTGCACCAAACCGAGTATTTGCCTCCCTGCCATCCTGGGCTGCTTGCCTCCTGTACCAGATCCCCATCCAGACGTACTGCAGGACTGCTCTGCTCAGGAAATAAAACGCCATGTCAGCAAGCGTTACGCCACCAGACACATCTCAAAAATAAGAAAACTATTTTAAAAGTCCTAAACATGGCCTCGACATTTCCCTTTCTGATGGGTCTGCCCAGGAAACAACTTCAGCGTTTAAGCAGGTCTTTCAATGGAGAGCTGAGTGCAGGCACATCCTTAAGCATGGGGCTGGAGGGGCATGGTGGTAGCCCTGCTGTGGTCCCTGGCGATGTCTGTGCTCATCTCCAATAGCACGGAGAGCCCACACAGCTCCTCTGCCATCTCTGAGATCCTGAATTAAGCTGCCTTGCTCTGCCTTTGCTGGAAGGTGTGAAAGGTGGCTCCAAGTTCCTGCAGTTGCCATGGTCATCAGTGATCACCTGCAAACTATTTTGTTCCTTGCCTGGGAAGCTGTGAATGGAGGTGGTAAAGGCATGTCACACCTTTGCTCGGATGTCCCACCTCACCAAAGCACCAGCGACTTGCAGGAGTCATTTTCATTTAGGAAAAAACCCAAGTAATAAATATCAGGGGTTTTTTTACAAATCAGGGAACAGCTTCCCTTAACAGAATTCACTTATCTAGATATCTTTAAGATTTAAAAACAAATGAAGGGTGGCAGAACGTTCTTCATTGGAATTCTTGCAGTGGTGAAGGAAACATGCATACCAAACAGAAACATGATGTTCTTGGGAAAGAAACCCATATATTTCAAGGCCAAAAATCTGTAAACACATCAGTCCCTCACCACCCAGGCACAGGGTCAGGCTCAGAGCACCTAGGAA